TAAGATCAGTACGTATTCTCCACAATTTTATACGTAAAAGGTAAGGTCGACAGTATATACCTTCCGTTGATTTTGATGAAAACTGTCCAGAAGACGTTCAAGTACCAGTTGAGTTTCTCAGAGACAACGACGATCAAAATGAGTTGCTGAGAACACGAGCGGTGAGTGATATGAGAGATTATTTGTCTTCATATTTTGTTAAGCCTTATGCATCGCTGCCATGGCAGTAGAATAAGTGTGTATAATTATTAATATTATGGGCTAAATATTTGATAATAATTTTCTTTTAAATTTGTTTTGAAATAAGTATATGAAAGTGTATTTAAATGCATATTATTATTAATTATTATTTGTATTATTTAGCTATTGTATTATTTTGTATTTATTAATACGGTAAACTGCATAACTTGTTTTCATATCTACTTAATACAATAAATAAATATAATTCATACATACCTATTTGTTAAAAACAAAATACTATACTTAATATCGATGACCGATAATATTAGTTGTCGAATATTCTGGATGCGTTGAGGTAGGGTGGTAGAGTTTTTAATATTAGTACATTGTTATTTTATTTTTAGCATTTACTTTATACCATAATATAACATATTATGTTACAATAAATAATATGAACTAATAATAAATAGTATTACCTGTTTCTTTAACTTCTTCTGCAACTTTTGACCATGCCTTTTCTGTTAAATCTTTTCTGGCGTATTCTGATGATTTGTAATTATATAAACACGGATATTTTTCCACAGCCTCAACTAAGTTTATAGTTAACACACACTCTTTTTTCGACATAATTTTATAATTATAGTTATCTATATAATAATTATATTATATAATACTATTACAATGAAATAATAAAATATAATGAAATAAACACGAGTATAATTCAAGTGATGTAGTGGCAACTATTCATCAAGAGACTGACAGCACTAGTCGCGCGCGATTAGTTGTTGTCGTTTCGCGTCGTAGTCACATCGTGTCGCGTCAGTGGGAAGTCCCCGATATATTTATCCGTGTTTTATAAGACAAACGATTATCACGCGATATTTATTTAAAATCGCGTCGCGTCGCGTTGCCCCTAGTGGGAGGACGGCCTACATGTTACATGCACCATCTTTGAGTAAAGTGCTTGAATTGCCTTTCCCGTTTTCACCATATACGGTGCAACATCCGACAAAAATAACAAGACGCTATCATGTTGAACGCCTTGTGGCCATAACAAATTCATGGATTTATCAAAAAGTTTAAAAATAGTTTGATGGTTAGCTTTTTCTAATTCTTCTGTATTTAACAAAAATATCTCACCCGGTCCGTCAGTTAGTAAAACTCCTATAATAACATTGGCTACGAAGCGACCTTCGATGTCAGTCGTCTCGTCAATACACATTATTACACAATACCCATATTTTGTTATTTGATACGTGATTTCGTATTTTTTCTAAAGTATTTTTATAACAATCTTCTACGTAACATTTACGAAGAGTAGCTTCCTTTGGAATTTCTTTTCCAGTATACTCTTGTAAAAATTCTCTAAATTTTACATTTTCTAATTTGTATAAAGGAATATTAGCAAATAACATAGCTTCACATAAATCTTTGTTAAACTGACATTTTTTAGTTGACAGATTAAATTCAAGAAGTTGTTGAATTTTTTTTGGCTTATCAATACGGTTAACTGACTTGACATGTTTTTCGGTTTTAAGATGTTGTAACACAGTAAAATGTTTTTGAGCACTAACTTTAACTTCACAAAGTTTACAAAATAGTACTGATTCATCAATTAAAAACACAGAACTACCGAATTCTGAAACATATGACTGTAAGCGACTACATGTATTTGTTTTTACTTTGGGCATTTTTAATTTTATCTTCAAAAAAAAAAAGAATACGAACAGACGAACTATACTGACGCAAGACGAAAACACATATTATGATACAAATGAATAAACGAATTGACATCAACTGACCGTATTTGGCATATTTCTTATCGACCGACACACACTAACAACACACAAATAATTGGGAAAACACATTACACACACACGGTATAGATTAAATAATAATTTATATTTATTTTTATCTAATTTTTCCAATATCTAGAAAATTCATATTAAATGTTGTATAGTACATATGTATAAAATATTGTTTTCTGCCGAATATTGTTTTAATTTTAATAAAATATGTAAAATATGCTCTTATAGGAAAAAACAGCTGAATATGCAAAATATGAAAAATAAAAATGATAACTTTAAACTTCTCGTACAACGAAACACATTTTTATGTCACTTAGCTATATTTAGAATGATTATTGAAAAATATACAAACTCCTATAAGTCCCTAGTCCTACTAATTACTTAAAGGAGCTCGAAATACAAAAATTAGTTCTTTTATTTTGAATGAATGTTCAGTTATAGGAAAAATGCTATGTTTTAGGCCTGATCTTATTGAATTTCTAAACAAATGAGAACGAACATATAGTAATTAGAGATTGTTTTTTTACGTGGTTTCCCCGAGTAGGCCTAATCGACGAAGGATGAACAAACGCCGACCTGAATATAGTAATGGATACCCGGTTTTCATTAGTTTATTTAAATTTGCTCATTAGAGCTAAAATAATATTTTTAAATATATCATTCATATAATCATTTGGACTGCGATCAATCATAGGATAATTAAATCTACGTTTTGTTATCATAACTCGATCGTTAACTTATTTTCCACGAATCTTGCATCTATATTACACATACAAAAAAAAATAAAGATATCCGCTATACTTACACATAGGAATAAGCGCCACCGACTTCAATATTACAAAAAAATAAAAATACAACCACACAGGTCGAAGGAGAGAAACAAAATAACAGGGTCACAATTGGTATAGATAACATGGTAGATTTTGTTTAGGCAGCACAGTTTGTGTTTTAACTTTTAACTAGTTTTTGCTGGCCACCATATTTTTTATTAATTTCTAAACATTTTTAAATTGGGTCACGGCTACTAAATAGTGTATTTTGTTATGGATTTACTACTATGATGAAATAAAAAAAACAACCAGATACTCATAAGCAAGATATATCTTATAGGCATAATAATACTTTTGATATTAAGAATATTCAAATTTTAATTTTCATGTTTTCAAATATAAAACTAAAACAAATATCCGTTTTTAGAAATCCTATTACGTAGTCCAAGAAGAAATATTATTCTTCCCGTGCTGTTTGATCCACTATAACCATTATATATAATTTTTGAACTAAACTATATATTTTTACAGGACAATTGTTTAATGATAAATTCAGATACTATACTACATGGAAGGTTTTGTATGTAGGTAATCAAATAATGATATACACTTTTGTAATTTATTGTGTAATATTAAATTATGTAAATATTATGTTAATACCTAGGTACATAATTGTTTAAAAAGATAAAAATGTTAATAAAATATTAATATATATGTTAATATAAAATTATGGAATAATATTAACAAAACTATATAAAATTATGATAAAAAATAAATTTAAAAAATACTTTAATTAAAATACATCTGTCGAGTAAAATTGTTCTTAAAATTAAAAACTTACAAAATAATACGATAATTTAAACAAAAACTATGTAAAAATAGCATAGTCTATCTTATAATATTTTCTTTGCAACTTGCATAAGCATTACTTGACTTTTATAATATTGATCATAGTTAAACTAATAATCCCACACTGCACTCGGAATGAAAAAATAACTTCATTGTAAAGAAAATATTATTTTTAAATATTATTTTTTATTATAAATATTATTTAAGTTTTATTAAAATTATAAATTATATGGGTAGTTCAAAATATTATGAATAATTGTAACTTTAATTCTAAAATATTTATAAATTTTGTCAAGCAATAAAATATTAAAGGGTTAAAGAAATATAAAAAACATAATTAATAGTGATTTATATTTTAGAGAGTATTGTAATGTTTTTTTATTATTGTATTTATAATAATAGTTATTAATTAGCATAACCTTAAAGATGGCAAGTCTATTAAAAATGCACGTATTTTACGTAAAAAAAATGTAATATTACAATAATTGTGTACTTAATATTAAAGAGGTTTAAAAATAATTTTTAAGGGGCTTCATATAAAATGCACAACCAACTTCATAATAAAAAATTAATTATAATTTGAGGAACTTAAAGATAACTAATGATATATATAACAATCTATATTATTATTCATTTAATAAGTTTCTTTGATTTAATGAGTGGTCATTAATTATAAGAAAACAAAAGCGAATTATAAATTGTTAGTTAATAATACTAAATCAAAAAAATCATCTTATTAATTAAAATTAGCAAAGAAGTTTGTATTAATAAAGAATTAATATGTATGGAAGTTTAAGGCATTAGTTCATCCAATTAAATTATTAACTAAGAACTAGATTTAAAAATTCAAAAGTTATCAGTATAAAGTTTAAAATCACTATTGTAATGTTTGAAGTAAAAAAAAAAAATTAGTGATCACAAAACATGGAATTACAAGTCTGGGAATTAAGTTAATAAGTTAAAAGTTAAGCTAATTTAACTTATTTCATTACCAATAAATAAAATTAACTTAAAATTTCGTTTCCTTACTTGAAAATCACATATTATTTTTTCATTTATCCCAATTAAATTAATTTTTATTTTCAAGACCAGAAAAATATTTTTGTAATTTTTATGTGCATTGATCATGAACTCAATCAACTTAACAGAGTTAAAAATATATAATTAACTAGCCCAGCATTGGATATATGTAGTATTAAGTTACCTCAACATTATTCACCTACATAATAAGACTTAATAACATATACCAACATACATTTGAAGTAGTAGAGCTACACTTTTTCATTATTTTTCTGTAACATGAGGAATACACAACACTAAAAATTGGATGATTTAACATTAATATAATTATTTAACATGATAGTAGTAAGGAGTAAAGCAGAAAAAAGTACAATTCATCATTTATGGTTGTTTATTTTTTATTTGATAAGTAAATGAAACAGTACAAAAAAAAATATCATTTATCATTTACTGGTGTTTTTACCATGGCAAGGAATGTGATGGAATTAAACAGTTTAATCAACTTCTTCAATTGTAGGGCCAGCTCCTGAACCAGCACCTGAGGCAGGTCCACCAGCACCACCAGGTCCTGCTCCTGGGAATCCAGGCATACCTCCAGGCATGCCTCCTGGCATACCACCACCACTAGCACCAGCATACAATTTGGTGATGATTGGGTTGCAAATAGCTTCTAATTCTTTTTGTTTATGTTCATATTCATCTTTTTCGGCCAGTTGATTGGCATCCAACCATTTGATAGTATCACTGACTTTGTCCAAAATTATTGTCTTGTCAGTGTCTGGTATTTTGTCTTTAATTTTTTCGTCTTCCATTGTACTCTTCATGTTGAAGCAGTAAGATTCCAAACCATTTTTGGCAGCAATCACATTCTTTTGTTGTTCATCTTCATTCTTGTATTTTTCAGCATCATTTACCATACGCTCAATGTCTTCCTTGCTCAAACGTCCTTTGTCATTGGTGATAGTAATCTTGTTTTCTTTATTGGTAGACTTTTCAATGGCACTGACATTCAAAATACCGTTAGCATCAATATCAAAAGTGACCTCAATTTGTGGAACACCACGTGGTGCAGGAGGAATAGCAGTTAGCTCGAATTTTCCCAACAAATTATTGTCTTTAGTCATGGCACGTTCTCCTTCGTACACTTGGATCAATACACCAGGTTGGTTATCAGAATAGGTGGTGAAAGTTTGAGTTTGTTTGGTTGGGATAGTTGTGTTACGCTTGATTAGAGCAGTCATCACACCACCAGCAGTTTCAATACCCAAAGACAAAGGGGTAACATCAAGCAACAAAAGGTCTTGTACTTCTTCAGATTTATCTCCATGCAAGATAGCTGCTTGTACTGCAGCACCATAAGCAACAGCCTCATCAGGATTAATTGACTTGTTCAGTTCTTTGCCATTGAAGAAATCTTGCAACAATTTTTGAACCTTAGGGATACGGGTAGAACCTCCCACCAATACAATATCATTGATGGCAGATTTGTCAATTTTAGCATCTCGCAGCGATTTCTCAACTGGCTCCATGGTGCTACGGAATAGATCAGCATTCAATTCTTCAAAACGAGCACGAGTAATTGAAGTATAGAAATCAACTCCTTCGAACAATGAATCAATTTCAATACTGGCTTGAGTGGATGAAGAAAGAGTACGCTTAGCACGTTCACAGGCAGTCCTCAAACGTCTTAAAGCCCTCTTGTTGGTAGTTACATCCTTTTTGTGCTTACGTTTGAATTCTTGAACAAAGTGATTGACCATTCGGTTGTCAAAATCTTCACCTCCCAAGTGAGTATCTCCAGCAGTTGATTTTACTTCAAATATTCCGTCCTCAATGGTTAAAATGGAAACATCAAAAGTACCACCACCCAAATCAAAAATGAGAACATTACGTTCTCCAGACGTTTTCTTATCTAAACCATAAGCAATAGCAGCAGCTGTGGGCTCGTTGATGATACGCATGACATTTAAACCAGCAATGGTACCGGAATCCTTAGTAGCTTGACGTTGCGAGTCATTGAAATAAGCAGGAACAGTAATTACGGCATTAGTAACAGTCTTTCCCAAATAGGCTTCAGCAGTTTCCTTCATCTTAGTTAAAACCATGGAAGACACCTAAATAAATAATACAAGAAGTTAACAAAAGTAATTTTATTTTTTTAAATAAAAATTAATACATTTTTACTCAAAGTATATAATATATGTACATATTATGTAAAAATAAATAAAATTCATAGCCTGAAATATTAAGATCAGTGTATTAAACGGGGTACAGAACCAAAAATTCAGTCACATAAATCAATCAAAACTGAAAATGAAAAAAAAATATATCGAGAAAAATATTTTATACCTCTTTTAAGTGAATTATTGTTAAACATAGAATATGTAAAGAAGTATACATTTTTTTGATTAAATACTATATAAGATGTAATGATATATATTTTAAAAATATTTTGGGTATTAATATTTCAAAATCTGTATCGATATAAACATTTATATAATTTATATTTTCTAAAACATGTTAAGCAAAATTTATATTAGATAGTCTTAATTTTATTTAATATATTATTTAAATCTATAAAAATGCATTACCATTACAAAATATAAATACCAGAATTATAAAAAAAAAGGGCATCTTGTTTTAAATTAAAACAAAAAAAGTTTAAGTTTTAAATTCTTTTAGTTATTATTGGTTATATGTTTGATTAAATTATTATTTATCTTAGAAGTGACTTACATTATTTGTACTGTTTATAATTAATTTTAATGCAAGTACCTACATAAGTTCAACCTATAAATACATTACCAGACCATATAGTCATATGCGTATAGTAATTTCATATTTAGCATTTCTACATTAATAAATTTAATATTATAAAATAATATTTAAATAGTTATTGAGTTACATAGATTAAATACATTATGAATCATATACAATAAAGATCTAATAAAAAGACAAAAATATGCATGCATGCTACAGATAAAAATTAGCAGAGAAACTATAAAAACAGTTAAATTGTTTTATGATTGCACATGATAACTACATTACCAACGTATTATACTTAGATTTATATAAATTAGTATGTCTTAGTTGTTATAAATATTTATATTTTCAATATGGAAAGTATACTTAAGGAATATGAATATTATCTTGCACACATTACTAATTTAACACGTTCGCTGCATATCATATATTAGTAGCACCTACTGCGGTGCGTAAACAATCTTTAAAATAAAATTTACAACGACGCAATTTGGCGTTGTTAGCACTATTGAATAATTTTTACATCATATGCTGAATGACGCCAATTAGCGATAACTATTTTTTTTTTTTTATTCAAATATTCAAATAAAGAAACAATTTAAATTAATATTATTAAGTTTAAACAAATAAAAAAAAACTTATCTTTTATAATTATTTTTAAATAAACAAAAACAAACTTATCTTTTAAAATTATTTTTAAATAGACAAAAAAAAAAATTATATATTATAATGAAATTTTGCAAAACATGGTTCTAGACAAATACTTGGATGATTTGGACAAGTTGGACAGAATATGAAGTATCTTTCTGTATTTTCTTATCTGCGCAAACACAACATCTTTTACGAAGTGCCCTTCCATTTTTTCCTATATGATGTGTTTTTGGAATGTGTTTTCTTTTAACATCTTGTCTTGGTTTTGAAAATGCTGGTAAAAGTTCACTAAGAATAGACAAACGAAAATCATAGAGCGTCATCTTAGATCCGACTTGTGATTGATTGTACAAATTATAAGAATTTAATAATAGCATTTGGATCACATGTATTCCCATCTTTTTGTACCAACGAATGGTTTTTCCTCAAAAATGGATAGTAACTGTTCTTTTGGTCCTGCCGATCAATACCACTCATAAATTTATTATAATTTGCAATCGGTTCTGGTTTTAGTTTTTCGTGACCTTTTTTATTTTTGCAAGTATCGAATTATTTTTGAATTCGGTAGAAATATACATAACATCCCATTTGTCCTTCCATTTACCAACCAATATGCCATTAGAGTACATTGCTTTTGTTTCCCCAGGTTTTAATTTCAATTTTACTACAGACTCAGGAATATGTTTTCAGTTAGATCTTAATGTGCCCGTACAATATATCTTTTTTTGTAATAATTGTTCAGCTAAATAAATGCTATTATAAAAATTGTCCATGTAGATTGAATGACCATTATTCAATTTTTCAGATACAAGATGTAGTACTATGTTTGCAGCATGACCTTTACCTCCTTGATCATCTAAAATACCAGTATACACAGCAAATTTTATAATAAGACTATTTGGTTCGGTATGCATGTACAATTTAACACCATATTTATGGCATTTATTTTGTATATATTGTCGAAAAATAAGGCGACCTCTCCACAATACTATTGATTCATCGAGTGAAAGCTCTTTACTTGGATAATAAATATTATTCATTTTGGTATTAAAATAATTTATAAGAGGGCGAATTTTAAATAGTCTATCAGTAGGAATATTTTCAGATTGGTCAGTAGGATTCTGGGAAAAATGAAAACATCTCAAAAGTAATAGAAAGCGATCACGACTCATATAATTTGAAAAACATGTAAAATTAAATAAATGATGATTTTTCCAGTAATCGTTTAATCGATTTAGTTTGATTATGCCAGTGTGAATAACTAAAGAAATAAAAGCTATAATTTCATCGCGGTCCTTAGGTTTCCATTGAGATATACGAGAACGCTCTGCAACACCAACTCGTAAAAATTCAGATTCGGCATAGTTATTTGTTTCTCTAGCTATCAATTCATAAAAATCCTCATCAAAACACATGAAAAAAAAATCTATAGGTTTTCCATTTTCGGGTACTGAAACGAGTAATCCTGGTTGTTTAACAAACGTAAAATTAAAAAGATCAGTTTCATTTGTTGTCCAAGTGTTATTAGTTGTTATTGTATCGGTAAATTCGAGATTTGATTCAGTAGACATTTCATTTCCAATATCCGAAGTCGATGAAAAAATCGAAATCACTATCACCCAAATAATCACTGAAGAATAATCAGAATAATCAATATTTTTGTCATCAGATTCAAAAAGAATTCATTCAATTTCATTTTCAGTAGAGCGGAGATCAACATTTGTACAGTCTTTTGGGTCAAGACGAACCAGCATTATCAGAAATATCCATATTTAAATTTCAGTAAAATGTATACATATACGTCAACTCGATTATATTTACGTAGTTACCTAGCTATCGCATAATTATAAATAAAACTACTCACTTTATTGTCACACGTCCATATTGGCTGAATAACCAAAGAGAAATAAACTAAATACGAATTTACTCATATGCACACGATCAATATCAATACATACTAAGTACAATATGTCTATATTTAACATACAAAAATAATTGTGCTTAGACGATTACGGATCGTCATCGACTGGGTGTGCCTAATAATAATAAAATAACATGATAAATGTAAGTAATAGGGAATATTATTGAATCGTATGTAAATAGAAAACAAATGGTTATTTTTAGAAACTGTTTTCAAAATTATGATTAAAAATTTCTGCAGATAATGCTGACAAAAAATTAGTGCACAGGTTCCAACGCTAACCGGAATATAAGCACATAATAATCGGTAATCAAATGACGCCAATTGGTGTCGACCGCACATGGAGAGTGACGCTACTGACGCCAATTGGCGTTGTACACAGCGAATGTGTTAAAAGAATAAAATATTATTATGAAGGTTAGTAGTACCTCTTCAGGAGAGAAAATTTTATTTTCTCCTTTGTATGAAATTTTGATTTTAGGCTTGCCACCATCACTGATTACTTCAAAAGGCCAATGTTTCATATCAGCTTGTACAGTAGAATCTTCAAAACGTCTTCCAATCAATCGCTTGGCATCTATAATATTAAAACATATAAGAAAAACAAAACTATTAAAATATAAATTATGTATAAATTACCAAAGATTGTGTTGTTAGGGTTCATGGCAACTTGGTTTTTGGCAGCATCACCAATGAGACGTTCAGTTTCAGTGAAACCAACATAACTAGGTGTAGTACGATTTCCTTGATCGTTGGCAATGATCTCCACTTTACCATGTTGGAAAACACCTACACATGAATAGGTGGTACCCAAATCGATACCTACTGCTGGAGTTTTAGCATCCATTTTAATGTGAAATTGAGTACTGTTTTATGAATATAGGAATGAATGAATGAAGTCTTGTAGTATAACTATAATGAAAAAAATTAAAAATTAATAATCAACAAACCATGATTTTTAATAGCTTAGAAATGTAGCATTAGAATTAGTTGTATTGTCCTTATTTAAGTTAACAAAAATAAAACAAGTTTTAATTAAAGTGAAAAAATATACATACAAGGTTATATAAGAAAAAAAAAATTATAAATCATAAACCACACGAATTATGATTAGATTTTTCAATTATATTGACATGAATCAGTGCGGCTTAGGATATTTTGAGATTAAGACAAATTATTTAGTTTAACAAAGGATGTTAGCCGCCTTAATATAATAACAATGGATTACAGGCGAAACAGATTAAAGATTGATTACCAGCGGAAAAAAAGGTTAGGCAGGTTAATAACCATACTTAGTAGTTATGGACGTAAAATAAAATGTTGAAACAGTGAAAATTTAACAAAAAAAAAAATACAATTACAATTTGTTTATTCTTAATAAGTAAGCCAGGCATATGAAAAAGATATACTATAACATCGGTTGGCGACCTTGGGGGTTTGTACATAACTAGTATGATTGCGACTTCTAGTTACGGATGATCGAGAACAAAAAGGGCAATGAGATAAGGCAGGGGTACCCAACTGGCGGCGCACGAGCTTTTTTTGTGGCCCGTACTATATTTTAAAATTACATCATTTAAGTTTATCGACTATACTTTGACTTATCATAATAATAATTGTTATTAAGTGTTAAACATCGTTAATTTTATAAATGTCATATGCATGTATGCATAAGTATAGCTTTCCACCATAGCTGTTTGTACCGAACCATTTAACAATATCAATTTCTTCGTATCGTGCTGTCGTGTGTTTAATTTATTATTTCCGTGTACATAAATGATAATTAAAATTCATATTGTGGATGACTTTTTTTTCTATGCTTTGGCCCGCTAGATTTTAATTTTCTAAAAATTGGCCATCTAGTAACTTTGAGTTGCCTATCCCTGACATAAACGAATCTATATAGAAAATATCTGGCATCAAGTAATAAGGGATGACAATAATAAATTAACGGGGGAAATAAAAAGATTTGGCGCACTTTTCGGACAGCACGTGGTTTTGGTGGGCCATCACGTTTGAACGCAAAAATAAGGAAAACTATAGAAATACTAGACCACCAACAACCTAAATACAAAGCACATGGCACGCACGCGTAGTTGAAAGAGAAAATGATATTAATTTCCAAGTTTGGCGTACGGTGATAGTAGACTCGTAAACGCAAATTGTTGTAAGGTGTGTATAAATAAAAATGACGGTTCGCCCAAATGTGCAGTAGTTGAAGGGCAACGAGAAACTTCGAATAAATCGTGTGAATAAAAAGAAGCAGAAATATAACAATAAACATAACACAAAATAGAAGTGAATACTTACAGACTTGCGATCAGTTCTGAATTCAGGAGCAAAATGGCAGAGCAATGAACGTTATCGCGTCAGTGTACGTACAGAACGTTGATGATGAACAAAAGTGGGGATACGGACGCGTACGTATATTATAGTTGCACAATACCCGCTCAACCATTCATGGAGCTGAGTAACGATGAGCCGAGAACATTCTAGACGCGTCATGGAAGAATAGACGACGAAGTGCAATTCCAACATGGATTTCTAAAGGCGCGTTCTCACGAGTCATGTTTATTTGAACGATTATTGTTGATCATTAAAAGTTGAATGAAATCTGTAGTTGAGAAACTTTGTTTTAATCTGTTTATCTATTTAATTTATTAAGTGGCACCCTCAATGAGTAATGAGGTACAGAAATACATAAATATAAAACAATAGAGACTGCAGTGTGCAATTTTGTATTAAGCTGCGTTTACACGGTTGACTTTTAATGATCATTTTCGACGAATCATCCAATTTGATCAATGCAATGTAGATCATCAGAAGTGATCATCCTCATCGAATGACGAACGATGTTCAGTCGAATTCAACTTGTATTTATTTATATATATTCACTTTGAATGATACACCCACGTTAAATCATCAAAAGTAAACCGTGTAAACGCGACTTAATGTTTGAGATTAGGGAAAAGAAGATATACAATATTATTTATACAATGTTCAAAAATATAATAATATTTAGTTATATATTGAAAAAGGAAAAAAAGAGAAGGATACCTAGCAAAATGAACTATTATTTAAAGAAAACAATTGTGGTTACTAGGTGTACCTACATCTTCGATTTGTGTGCATTATCAAAGAAAAAGTCAAAATTAAAGATGTTATTACAAGAAATCAGTATACCGTTTAAAGAGAACTGTAATTAACGAAATTATTCTTGTTTAGATTGTAAAAAAAATAATCGAGATTAACGGTTATTATGGGCTGACACGTAAAGACAAGTTTGTTCCGGTAGATAGGTAATGCAGTGGCGGTTGGTGAGGTTCACATAAGGTGGGACACACATAATTTTTGAGATACAGTAGAATTCCGATTATCCGAACGCCAATCAACCGAACGTCCAATTAACCGGACGAGAAAAAAAAAGATGCCACACTCCAAGTTCACGTATTTGAGAATTGTGATGAAGAGGATATAAATGAGTGGTTGTTTTTGGATACAAATAATCCTGGATATCAAATATTTTCAGATGATGAAATAGTTCGTAGCTTATTTGAAGAAGATGATACTGAAGGAGAGGAAAATGAAATTGACGATTTGACTGAAGGTGAAAATAGGCCGTCTCATTCTGAAGCTTTTGATGCATTGGATTTGGCGTTTAAATGATCTGCGAGGCAAGAAGAATCAAACACCACTTAATTGTTGCAATTAAGAAAATTGAGAGACATAGGTGCTCTAATGAAAAAGGCAACTCTGAAGCAAACTAAAATATAATAATTTTTCAAAATAAAATAAATAATGTGCCATGTCAGCTTTTATTTTAATTTTAAAATATGTTACATATTATAATTAAAGCTTATTTTTTTTCAGTTAAATATAATAATAAAATTATTTATCTACTATATTAATAATAAATAGTTACGTATAATATATTCATACAATTATATAACTTTTGATAAGTCGTATATCAATCATCCGGATATTAATTAGTCCGTGTAATCGGAGTTCTACTGTACTATGTACAGTGGTGGTTTTACACATCTATTACTTTTGTAGATATAGAAAAATAATTTTTATGATATAAAAATTGGTTGACTGACAAACGCAGTCAATGGTTTTTGAAAATATAACTAAAATAATTGTCATAAAATACAATGTGCATTTAGGAAATAAAATTTAATTTTGGATATATTTTTGATATTAATTGATTTATTTTTTTCTAATAGATGAAAGCTATCTACAAAATGATTTTGGTTAGTAATATACTTTAAAATTAAGAAGAAAAAACAGTATTTACAGTAGGGTTAATTACATAAATTTAAGTATAATTTTTTTATATAGTACTAGCTTCTGTGTGCCTTGCTCCGGGTGAAATTCGCTTAATATTTATTAATCAATTTAATTAATAATATGAATTATTAATATTAATAATATGAATTATTAATATTAATAATATAAAATATTAATATTAATAATATCAATTAATAATAATAAAACACTAGCTTCTGTGTGCCTCGCTTCGGGTGAAATTCGCTTAATATTTATATATTAATCAATTTAATTAATAATATGAATTATTAATATTAATAATATTCAAAACATTATGTAGGTATAATGTATCATGCAATACTACCACGGTTACTACTTGTGAAAATTATTAACTTTTGATAATATACGGGTGGAAAATTGATACGCCTTCGGCGTCAAAGGCGTTCGCTATCTAGGAGACCCCCACCTAATTGTTTTCTTAAAAATACTACGACACCATACTTACGGTACTATAGTGACAATCGATGCATGGTGTCAAACGTATAAAAACCAATATAAGATATATACAAAACATTTATATGTACATAAAAAAAATGAAATAGCAGATGGCAAATCGCAGTGTAATTGAAAATAATCAAACATAATAATAGTACTGTTGCAAAGTTAAGTGTCTTCTCAACAATAGTTAAATATGTAAATTATCATTATATTTAATAGAATGGAATAGAATTTAAAAAGTGGTATAAATATGCATATAGATTTTGATATTTCAATTACAGAATAAAATATATATTTATGATTACAAAAGCATTATATGTGTCTTCTTCCATAACTTAACTTACCGAAGGGACACTTTTATGAAAAGTATTTTAGATACAACAATTTATAAGTATCATAAACGCTAGAGAACTTGACATTTTTTTTAGATATGAAATTATCAATATAAAAAAACCTTTCAAATACAGTACAGTCGGTTCAAAGTAAGAAGACCTAATGCATAAAAAGTATTTTTTCAATAATAAATAATGAATATATATACAAAGCGAGTCTGTAGACAAAAAACTATAAAAATGGAGTAAGACCTTCCTTGATGTTAACTGAAAAAAAAAATTTGAGAATAAGTGAATACTCTATAATAGGTGTGTATATATAAATGTTGGCGTTAGTTACGTTTTACACTATAATCATTCTCAGTGAAAAACGCATCCAAGAAAGACCACGTGGAGGTCGCCAACCCCTTTCTCACATTCATAGAACATAAAAGTACTCATCGACAATATTTAAAAAAAATATACAGAATGAATATATAAAAACATAAATAATTTATGAAAGACAGAGTGTGGAAGTTTCTTGTAATCATAGCATATTTGTGCTTTTAAGCTTAAAAAATATGTGAAGATAATGTATACAAATATGAAACATAACATAATCAAAGAAAATATTTTTATCATTATATAAAACGTTTCAGTATGATACGGTTTAAATAAATAAACTATACCAAGATTTTTCTTATAATATTAGGAGAAAAGTGTAATAATAACCAAACTCTTGGGTACAACAGTACTACACTGGTGTTTGAGCATTCGTTATTTCATTAATCTGCAATCCACTATGAGCAAAATAAACAATATATAGTTTAAGATATTTTACAAAGACATTTATATCATAGAGGAACTTGAGCGTTAAATATTGTATAAATACATACCAAGTTTTCTTTATTTTATAGCTGGGTTTGATTTGATTATCATTAGCACCAATAACACGTTGAATTCTATTCCATTCCAAAGAATAAAGTGCAACAAAAACATTCAACAGCTCTCTCCCTATATTATTTGGAAAAATTAATCAAATTGAATGTATTTAACATATTTAAAAAACAAATTTATAATTATTTAACATAATTTAAAGATACAATTAAAACATAGTCAAACGATAGACTTAATTAACAAATGTGAACAAAAGAATTATAAAAAGTGTTGCATATAATTTGATTTTTAAATTTTACAACTGTTTGTGATAATAGAAATATCAGTAAAGTCAATCACATTCCTTCTCAATGAAAACATCCCATAGCTCTCCCCTAATATTTTATGGTAAATCAAAAAAAAAAAAAAAAATGAATATAATTAATAAGTTTTAAAAACACATTCAAAGCATATATTGTACAAAGAAAATAATTTACATTAATGCTAAAACATACATAATACATATTTCCTTTCATTCAAGTGTAAAAACTGATACTATAAGACTTATTTATATAAACCAAAAATATAACATTCAATATATATAATTGAAAGAATGAGTTGAAAAATGCATGGCATACCATGTTTTCTTTAGTTTATACTTGTGTTTGTTTTTATTAGTTAATCATTAGTACCGAAGTAGTAACTGAATTATTCCTTAACAAAGAAAATGTTTAATGAAAACATACAATAGACATCTCCCTATATAATGTGGAAATAGAAATCAAATCGCATGTATTTAAAACAAATATATAATAATATAACATAATTTAAAGACACAATATCAATGAAAACATTCAATAGGTATCTTCTAATATTTTTTAGTAAAACATATAAAAATAAATGTGTAATTAATAAATATATTAAAAACACATTTAAAGCATATAGTATGTAGAAGGTAAAAATCACAATTGATTCACAGTCGAACGATGGACTTAATAAACATATGTGTCAACAATAGAATTCTAAAAAGTATTGTATATATACTTTTTATATCCGATTGTGTTTATAAAAATATCATTGATGTCAATCACGTTGCTTTTTATTTTTTGGTAAGACGAATAAAAATTTATGTAATTAACAAATTTTAAAAACATGTACAGTGGAAAGAAAAAAGGTAAAACTTACCGGGTTTTCTTATTTACATTACATCACAAAAGTTTTAATTTCCTTTCGTCCAAGTGTAACGACTGATGTTGTAAGACTCATTACTAAAACCGAAAAAAATAACATTTAATAAGCAGTGGAACGAAAAAGTTTCAAAATGTAATATACACCGAGTATTCGTTATTTTATAGCTGTGAATGTTTTGAACAGTATCGTTAGCACCGAAGACCCTGTGAATTCAATTCCTTTCCATTCAAAAAAAGTATAAATAAATAAAACAACAGCTATCTCCCTATATCGTTTGGCAAAACAAATCGTATTGAACGTACTTAACGCTGATAAAAAAACAAACTATATTTTAAACGTATTATGTTTTCTTCGTTTCACAGCTGTATGTAGGCGTTCAATAATAACGTTACACATCAAATCAACATAAGAAAAACGGATAAATAATTTTCGGTAAAACAAATCGAATATGTAATAACATAAATTAAATAATACGATTGAAGCGATGAAAAAGATTTCACAAAAAAAAAGTTTGAAACGAAAAGAAAAAACGGACTTGACGGACGGCGAAAAATAAATAAAAAAGAAACCGCGAACGGGATCAACACTCCCGTCGATAAGACACGGCGGCGGTAGTTGATAACAAACGACGGCGGCGAAAATCGGACGCGACGGACGGAAAACAAAAACAGATTCCGCGGGAGCGGAAACGACGTCCGTACGAATCGACGGCGGCAGAATTTCCTTCGGCAGCGGAAATCTTGCAAAAAAGCCGAGCGGCGATAGCTCGGAATCTAACCGGACCTACGGGGACGTATCGGGAACTATGCCTACAACTTGCCTACTAGAGGTGGGTCGGTCG